CCCCAAAAAATTAAGCACAAGCCCACTATATGCTAAGCGAAAAATTCCAAATCTGATCCCTAGCGAATAATTAAGGTAAGTAAGCAATTACTATAATGACATAAGCGAATAGAAAATGGCGTAGGTTTTTTTTTTTTAAGATACAGAGACCTTAACTTATTATTTATATTTCAACGCAACAATAATTGTCACCTATTTCAAAATTTGTCATTATATTCTCAAATTTTGAATGTCATTTGGAAGTGGAAACTCATGTTTCTGCTAAGTTTGTAAACAAACCAAGTTCCATATAGCATGAGCACTAAGGAACAGGACTATCTATTTTGCAACCTACGCAAGCTTGTTAAGACATTCTATAGGTTTTGCTTATGAGGATTCTTAGATAACTAACAAAAAAACAAACGTGAGTTAGCTTCAAGGATGTAATACTGCACAGAATACAGCGCGAAATTTAGGTAGCTTACTGACTAGATAATAAAAAATCTTGATATGGATTGAGAGATTGGTATGTCTGGGATTACCTTTGTGAGGAAGGATTTGAACTTTGTGAAGATTACAGGATCCAGAAGTTCATGTAGCACCATTTTTGCCATCATAAATCCAACACATCTTTGCTTTGCATAACATAATAAATTTCAAGATCTTCAGGCGATATTAAACAATTAAAAACTCAAGATCTCGATTAAATTCTCTTGCACTATATACCTCATGTCAAATGCAATCATCATTTCTCGCCTGCCCATGTGCCTGTCCATGGTGCAACTATTTGGACCATCCTCATAAAAGTCAGATGCATTTCCCAATATCCCGACCTAAAAAAGTATGGTTTAGAAGCTGTAAAGAGAGAAATAGTACATAAAAAGAATAAAAAAGATCGGATATCTTCTTATTAATATTGCTACAAAATTTGCAGATGCTCCACTTTTCAACAAAGGATTTCTCTTGTGACTGTGAAAAATTTCTTTGGGCATTGATTCAGTTGAGATCCATACAACATCTACAGAGATTCCTTGAATGGTTAGGACTTAGACGTATATTGATTGCTCAACTACATTCCTCTCTATCACTCATGACTTCTAAGTAAGACATAAATCAAAATCCATATAAGCCATGATATTATCTTAACTGGTTCTGCAAACTGAAAAAGAGTTTCCTGATAAAATAATAAGAACCTCTTTATTAACAACTCCTGCAGATAACTAGATGTTTAATTAAACCACCTAAAGGTGACAGCAGAAGGAAATTATCATACACGAAAACTGGGCACTAACTTTAATGTGTCGGTCCACTGGGCTTATATGCACATTCTCCAATCGCAATTCTGTATGGGCAAGTCCATGGCTGTGTAAGTAGTTGACCTGAAGTGATAATCAATAAAGCTAATTCAGCTCCACAACAACCTACATAGAGTACAGAATTCATTTGTAAAACATTAATAAAACATACTCCAATCAAGAGATCCCTCATCAATAACCGAATCAGCCTTAGTTGCCGAGAGACTGCAGGACCTCCGATTGTGTCCTCTCCCACCTTTCTAACAGATTCCTCATCCAATGCCAAAGTAGCTTCTAAGGTTGGAAGCCAATCTGATTGTTGAAGCCAGTGTCTTAAAGAAAAGCTACCATGATACTGCCCATATTTAAATAAGAAACTTCTTTCAAAATCTTAAAGGGAAAAAGATAGATAACCTTTGTGTTAAATTTGTCAGAATATGCAGACGGTTCAAGAAAAATGATGGAAGAAAGAAAAGAGTAAGAGAAGGCAGTATCTCCAGCGAATGAAAAGGAAAACGGTCATCTGTAAAGAATGCCACAAATGAATCTGGAACTAAATAATAAATTTAGACATATTTTATAATTGAATCAGGGGAAGGTTCTGCAGTAAAAAACTCTAGGGAAGACTCCTCATGATATGCAATGTGGATAGCTATATGAAAGAAACTAAAGAATCCACCAAAAGGGTGAGACATACTCCGTGAACCAGGATAAATGAGCCATGGCCACCCCTTATATGTGAAGACACAAAACCATGAACTTGCATTGAATAAGAAAGGTACATTAGTCTGCGCCGAGCTAGCTTTTTCAATACCTATGGAACACTCCCAATTACAACAAATGGGAATCAGAGGAATCCAGAACTTTCAGGAATAGATATTTGGTCTCAGTATAGGAAGTTTATAAACCTCAATTGCTCGTTTCCCTCTTCGTTGAGCTTGAGCACTGGTAAATTGTCGAAGCACAACTCGTGTGTTATACAATGGGCTGCAACTTCATAACACTATACATCAAATTCAAACTCGTATCACATCCCACAATACACATGTCATTCTACAATCAAACAAAAACTAACCTGTTTGGATTCGTGACTATGGCTTCAAAAACTACCTCATCCACCTGTCAGAATTTCCAATCCAGTTCGGCAATAAATGAAATCATCAGCAGCAGCAGCCACCAGATTGTTCAGAAATGAGTTACAAGAAACAAGCAAATAAAAATAGTTCCTCGTACCCGCCCTCCAAGCCCAGCACTGACATTATCAAGAATCTTAAAATCAGACATCTTGAACCTTGTAACATGCACTGATTCTTCTTCCACAGGGACTGATAAATCAGTCAGATTATTCTCTTTGGATTCCATTGAAGAGAGAGCTTTTCTTGATAATGAACAATATATCTTCCTGAACTGTCTTTGAATTGGATAAGAAGACTTGCGGCGGAAGTGCCGCGCATTGGTTCCATCCCATCTTGTCAATAAATTTCCACCAGAAAACCGCAATTCAGTACTCTCCAAGTTCGGACTCAAACTGATCCCGCATAGAGCCATTTATCAAAACTCTGATCACTGTATGTAGAAAACAAACTTCACAAATGCTATTAAAAAGAAGTAAAAAATAGAAAACAAAATTGCAAAAAATAAAAAGTTCAAATCCCATACTAGTTTGGTCCCTAACTAGATCAGGAAAGCGTTGACTGAAGTAGTCAACCTCATAACAGAACAAAACGCATCATTAATATCTAAATTCCGGTTTCTTCTCCTTATTTTGCCGCCAATAACAAAGAATGTTATGCATCATTTTGGTTGCACCAACATGGCATATTTTGCCTTCCAATGAAAATCAAGCTCTTAATTCTGTCAGTCAATTAATAGCTCGAGAGAAACTTTAAAAATAAGAACAACAAAGTGATGGTAAGAACGAGAATTTCAAACGTAGCGCGCTAATAGAATGCTGAAAATGAGTTAGCCAAAGTGTATGAATTGGATTTTCTCACCTACCAAACAGCAATCGTTCATGATCACAACAGCTAACCACGAAATTCAAGCAAAATTAAATTTAAACAAGATCGAGATTCAGGAACTCACCAAGTAATTGAGGAACGTCAATCGGCAGCTCACCAAATGATGGAACAGAAGACGGAGAAGGAAAGGAGTGTATATAAAGAGAATAAGGAACGTGATAGTTGCGTGAGGAGGTACGCTTGGAGCGCTGTGCCATGAGTTTTGCTCATGTCTATGTCCGCCTCTGCAAATATCTCCACCGTTCGCTTTGACTCCCCTCCAGTTGGTCTTTTCCCGGCTCGTTCAGTGAACACTCCTGTTATGCCACGTCAGTATACAAAATATTGAATTTACATTTTTGCCCTTTTATTTTGGATAATTCGGAAACTTTACAAGAAGTTCCCCAGTCTAACCCCAAACTTTCGCAAAATTATAATCGTATTTTTTATTTGAATTAAATTTTGTTTTATGTCATACTAATAAATTAAATATTATTTATTTTATTTTAATAAATTTATATCTATTGTATTTATAAAATAATTTAAGTTAGTTACTCATTCAAAATTAAAATTAAAAACCACGGTAAAGTTTGAAAATTTTAAAATGTTATTTTCATAAAATTATTTTATTTATGATTTATATATTCACACATAATATATTTATAAATACATATCAATTTAAAAATATTTTTAAACAAAATTATTTATATTATATTATAATTAATATATATGTATCACATAATTAATGTATCTATAAATTTATTAAAAATATATATATTAAATAATATTTAAATATAATAAAACACTTAAAATCTATTTTTTTATAAAAAAATCTCTAAATACCCTTAAAAATATTGAAGATAATTTATTATTCTTAATACTAAATTTTAATTCATCGCAATATAATAAGATTGAGAGATGTTAAGTTTTTTATCATTTTAATATCAAAATATTTGTAAGTATGACCTATTTTATAATATTAATACTATAATAAAATTTAAGTTCAAAATAGATTGATATTGTTTATCTACGTTTATGATTTCAGAATATCGAATTATGAACGAAAAAAAACATGCAATAAAAAAATATTGATTAGTAATTGTTAACTTATAATTTTTGGTTTGAAATGACACTAAAAGCTCTGATATTCTATATTTTGAATAAATATAAAATATTATTTAATAAAAATATATTATATAAAATATTATTTAATATATATTTTTAAACCTCACAAAATTATCTTAATTTCTAATTTTTATACAAATAAAAAAAATGAATAAATACTTGGTGGTTTGTCAAATTTTGTAGTGTAAAAAGTTTGAAAAAAAATTACGAAAATCAAATATTAATATTAATAAACTTAATATAAAATATATAAAAAAAATTGAAATTCAGTTGGAAAACTCAATAGTTTCAGTTTTTGAAACTAAATTGATACCCTGTTTAAAATTTGTGCATAAGCTCCGGTCCACCAGCTTGTTGGGAATGACGAGCAATCTAATGTCTTACATCGGATGATCCTCTGTGTCTGCGCCCCAAGGTCAACGATGCCGTGATTCTCACAGTTCTAGAAATCAAGTGGACTTATCACATCCATCAGACTTACGTTGGGTCCGCTCGATCAGAGACCTTTCTCATTGACCAATGTTTTATTATCTCCTACTTTCGTAACGGTACAAATGGATGAATCTGATTGGTTAATCCATTAATCCCAGGTGGTCTCACATACAGCAGAATGTCTCCCCTGGGCCTCATACGTGTCATGTTTTAATTGGACATTTCCGACGCATGGTAATTACTGAGTCATGATTAAACAGTTCAAAAACCCCACCGCTAGGAGACAACCGTAATAAAATTGAAGTGGAAGGGCATTTTTGTCATGGTACAACAAGCGATCTCCCAAGTCTCCCCTGAGTCTCATTTTTTACTTCCATAAACAAAATCACGAAATAGCATAGCCCGACGCACGCCTCTTTTTCTCCCTTCTTCAACATTTCATCGTCTTCCACATTTATCCCTAAATCCGTTCGTGGCTCTCTCGTAATTTCCACTATTTTCAATCCGAATCACCCAGCAACTCTCAGAATCTCCGGCGATCTGGTATTTGCGGGCGCCGTTCTCAGGGAGCGACAACTGTGTTCGTCTTGTTAGGGTTACTTTATGTGGGAAGGTTGAACTTCTGTTTAAGTCTGGAATTAGGGTTTTCGTTTTCGTTATACGCTGCGAGTGCTAAATTATTTGCAGAGAGTTCAGTTTTTCCCGGAGAGCCGATTTTTTTTTTTTTTTGAGTATTTGTAATTAGGGTTTTTCAATATCTTATTCGGGCGTGCAGTTATATTTCGGCTTTGATTTAAGTCATTCGCCCGTAAGGAATCTACAGCAAGGGTTTGAAGTGTTTATTCATCTCAAGTGATGCCACGAAGTTCCAGGCACAAATCTGGTAAGCATAACTCGAAGGATGCGAGAGACTACTCGGATTCAGAGAAGGACTCCGGTTTGAAAGAACGAAAGGTGAAAGAGGATGGTAGCACTAGAGTTTCAAAAGACTCCGCTTCCGGCGAGAAGCGGAAGCTCGATTCGAAAGATAGCAAAGATTTGTACGGTTCAGGGAATGGGGAGTACTTGGAGGAGTACGTTTCCTCAAAGCGCCGGAAGGAGAGGGTCGATGATGGCGTCAGTGACAGGTGGAATGGCGGTGAGAATGATAGAGCCGAGGGTTCGAAGAAGTCAAAGGCATCAAGTGATTTGAAGAGTAAGAAGAGAGATGAAGGTGACGCGGAGGAGTCTAAGAAGAGTAGTGGAAAGAGTGAAGGAAAGCACAGGGAATCTAGTCGCAAGGAAGGTAGAGAAGGTGCAGGAGAGAGGGAGAGGGAGAAGGAAAAGGATAGAGATAGGAAGTATAAAGAAGGGAAAGGTGAGAGGTTGGTTGACAACGAAGAACACCGTGGATCGAAACAAGCAACTGAAAAAACTGGTAAGGTAACCCATTGCTTTGTGGGTAATATGTGTATTGCCAATGTGGTGTTATCTGAATCTCATACGGGTTTCACTGATGATCGTTATTAATTATTAATTTTTAGAAACAATGGTCTTTCCTTTATACCATTTGAAGAGTTTTGCAGTATTTCTCTTTTTTTTTTTGCATTTTGTACGGCTTGAGCCATTGGTAAATTTCTTATGGCAGTTCTATTTCTTCCGTTTGGAGTTCCTACTGAAAGGTCTGTTTCCCAGGTTTAATGACAACATCTCCCACTGTTTACTCTTGGATTAAGTATCATTAGAGAAAAGCTAAATGCTGTAGATTCTTGTTGCTGACATTTCAGTATCCTTTCTGTTCACAAGGCCTCAAACAAGAGTTCCAGGATTTTCTCTATATGTTTGTTCAGGCCTTTCCCATCTTTTCAGGATGGTACTTGAGCTTTTCAGAATATTTTTTACATCACTGGGGAAGAACAAATTTTCAGGTTGCAAGTTTATTGCCTAGGTGTTTGACATATTATTCTCTGAAAAGAATGGCTTTGGTAGTATGAGTTTCTAAATGTAGGTAGCTATAGAGATCAATAATTCATTCCATACCACTGTTTCAGTGATTACCTTTCTGTCTATATGGTTTCTGTCCCAAATCCCTCTTCTTCTTTTCTTCCCTGGAAAATGTGTCATAATGTTTTCTCCAAATCAAAATTTTGCTTCCTTGTCTTCTGTTTGTGCGTGTGCAGTTCGCATATTTGAGTAGTCTCCTCGTTTCCCTTATGTTACTGGTCATACTATAATTCATCCTTCTTCCTGGTGCATCCACCAAATGGAGATTTATGTCTTCGTGGAGGTTGCCTGCTTTCTCTTTTGAGACAAAGGTTGAGTTGTAATTGTGCCATTGACTCATTTGGGAGTATGATTTCACATCAGCTGGTGTCTTCCTATTTATCCATTTTCAAACCGATGTTCTTGTCGTTATCTTGAATTGTTTCCTTTAATTCAGAGTGTTTATTACTGTGCGATCTTAGGTCATGTAGTCGTTTTAATTATGAGTTGGTCACTTTTATGTAAGTTAAGTTGATTGTTGAGGAGCTTTCGGTGTGCTATGTAATTAGTAGATCACTGTTAAAGACTTCTATTAGTAATATATTGAAGTCTAAGAACAGATTGTGATGGAAATTATGCACTTATACATGTCTTTGGTAAGATTTTTATCAATAACACATTGAAGTATGAGTATTCCTTGTGCCATGGAAACTATGTAGTATGACATGTTACCAATTTACTGCAACATTAGTGTTATCATTGTAGAACATGTAATATTTTTCTTGCCTTTTCCTCTTCTCAATGTGGTGGGTTATTCTTTGACAAGTGGAAATTGTTAACTGCTTATTTGATGCAAGAGAAATGGATATTTCCATTTTCTCCTGCATTATGTCTAGCAACTAAGAAGTCTAGGATTCTTCCGAACAAATGAAGGTGTATGTTTGAGGAATATAAATAGAGGGCGGTGTTAACATTTTCAGGGCATTTATGGTTGCTGTGAGAGATGAGGAGTTGAAGGATTCTTCTGGTCTTGTAGATAAAATAAAGCCTGACTTGTACACTTTGTATTTAAAAAATAATAATAATAATAAAGCCTGACTTGAAGAAAATGTAACGTTTGAGGGTAAAGTTTGTTACGTTGGTTATTCATTTTAAATACTTAATCAATACGTCTGTTGGAGCCAGTTTTTCCAATGTTTTCTACAAGCTGGCAGATATGGTTATATTTGGAAACAAATTTACTTAGACCTTTTCATTAATTTACCTTCTGAATCTTAGCCATATTGATACAGGGTACTTGTGGTGAATCATAGCTTCTTATCACTACGTGTTTTCTCTTAATGATATTAGTTATTTTCAGAATCTTCATTGGTATGTTCCATTGACATTTAGGTCCATATACTCCTCTTAACGATTTTGGTCAGCGTTAAGATATATCTACGAATGCATCTATAGCTTCGAAGTTATTGATAAAAGCTTATTTAGGGTTTGAGAGGAAGTTTAGTAATTAATTGGGCTATATATAATTTTAACCGACAAATTGTCAATTGAATGTCTTAACTGTAAATACTAATTTTGTTTATTGCTTCTTGTACACGAAACTTTTTAATGCCTGCTAGTGTCCTGAAATCATGTTGATGGTATGAGGAAGTGACATTCGACTTTTGTACAAATTTGTGATAGAACATAAAGAAACAACTACACGATTTGTGTTTCTCTTGATGACTGATTTACTTTTATAAACTGTCATGCATTTCAGTTAATGTCTTTTAGGTGACTAAAAGTGGTCCATTCAGTTTGGTTGTGCCAAACGTTTGGTGGTTATGAAGTGTTGGCTTGATGCCAGCTACAAAGAATAAATATTGTCGAGTGTGGAGATTTTGCTAAACTAGCCAAATGACGTCTTATTAGATGAATTTGTTTGTTGAGTGTGGTTATCTGATATGCTAGTGTCCAATTTAGGATACTTGGTGTCACGACTTCAGTGCCTGCATGAGGCACTAGATAAGGCTTTACATGTTAGAGTGACTTGTTAATGCTTGTTCTTGAGTATACTAACAAACCATGAAGAAAAAAAAAATGTTTCCTGAATTTTAGCCTGAATGAATTTACACTGTGATCCTTAGTCGTCTTTAATTTTCTCCTTCGGATCTTAGTGCTCTGATTTTTCTTTTCCTTTTTGAATACTGAATGCTGACTTTTAGATTTGTGCATCATGTAGTTGCTGTCTTTTCAAAGTGGGCTTCTAGTAATTTCCTATTTTTCTGCTTAAAGAAAACTTATCGGCACTGTGTCCATGAGTTAATTGTTACTTTTTAATTGCCATTGAATTTTACTGTTCTATGTAAACTTATAATTAGTTTTTTTTTTCCAAGTTCGTTGACTCTGAGTCAGATTTGAGTTATAGGTTGGACCTAAAAGTTTGTTTTTCTCTTGTTTTTAATTTTTTGATTATTGGTTTTATCTTTATCTTCTTGTGTGGTCTCCTTCACTGTTATGCTTGTTTGCAAAACTTCTGTTTTTGTTTTTTCCCCTCTCTAGAAAAATTGTTTTTTTATAAATTGAATCAGAAATATGAAAACTAATAACTGAATACATGGAAATAGTCCCCATGGAAATGAAAACTATGATTAAGCATTTGAAAAAGTGAAGTTTATTTGGCCAAAGTTGAGTTGTCTTACATCTTGATTTATGTCTTCTTGTAGAGTTAAGTGCTCAGGACCAGCTGCAAAGTCCTGAAGCAGAAAACCAGCTTGAGAGACGGGGTAGGAGAAAGAGGGATGGTTCTGGGGACGGTGACAAGCGGAAAGATGATTTTGGAGATACTAATGATAGACGCCTATCTTCGAAGGATGAAAGTGCCAAAGATGGAAGACATAAGGATGAAAAGTACAAAGATGAGAGATACAAAGATAAGTCCCGTGAAGATGTTGAGCGAGAGAACAAGCATCGAGATGACAAGCAGAGGGATGAACGACTTGTTAGAATTCAATCTAATAGTAGGTCTGATGATAAGCATTCACGGGATGAAAAAGATTCAATAGAAAGTAGGCAGAAGAAATCCAAGCCTCATGATAGTGACCATGATAGGGATAGAGAGCATGACCATGAGCATGAACGTGGCTTTGATTCTTCACGTGATCGTGATGGACACTATGACCGTGACCGAGAACATGACAGAAGTAGAGAAAGGGACCGCGATCGAGACCGTAGTCGGCGTGAGTATGAGCGTGAACGAGATCGTGATTGGGATCGGGACCAAGAGCGTGAGCGTGATCGTGATTGGGATTGGGAAAGGGATCGAGATCGAGAGAAGGATCGAGACCGAGATTGGGATTTGGAACGTGAGAGGGATCGAGATCGAGATCGTCATCGTGATCGTGATCATGATCGAGAAATTGACAATGATCGTGATAAAGATGTTGATCGTGATAGTTCCCATCTTGAGGATCGAAGTGTTAGATACAAAGACAGTAGGGGAAGGAAGAGATCCCCTGATGAACGTGATGATATCAGTGATACTAAGTCAAGAGGTATTAAAGCTCACTATACAGATTTGGAAACCAGATCTTTGAGCAATAATAGAGTTGATGTTGATGTTGATCGGGCAAGGTCCCAGTCTCGGCAAGCTCATGTTGATGCAATTGGTGGAGGTAGCAACAGGCGAAGAACTTCTCCTAGCTCCAGTTCACATGGTGGCGTGGATGATTTCAGGTAATATTCTAGAAGATTGTTGTTCTCTTATATTCAAAATAAATCATTTTGTTTCAAGACACTATTCATGTAGATTGGTAATCTTAGAATATGCTATTCTGGAAATCCACAGATAATCTTAAGCTATGGCTCAGTACTAGCTCATATATACTACTTTGGAACACACTGTTTTTGTTTCTCCTTTGAGTTGAACACAAATGTAATTGCTTATATCACTGTATTGGACAGGCATATTTCAGAGCAAAGGTCCAAAACAATTTCTACAAGAGAAGTAACTGGTTTTTCTGGTGCATCAGAGAGAAGCACTAAGTTTAGATCTTCAGCAGAGAAATCCACAAAAATGGATGATGGACATTTGGGTGAATTGTCAATTGAGAGGTCTTCGAGTTCCAAAGCTTCGCCCATGGGCTTAGCTGAAAGATCTCCATCTTCAACAAGTTTTGAGCGTAGGCACATAAACAGGGCTGGTGCTAGGCGGAGTCTTGAGGTTGAAGAAACTGGACGGAGGAATAGTGCATCCATTGGCTCCAAAGAATTGTCTGCTACTGATGACAGACCAAGTAGGGATTTGCCTCTAGAGAAGCCTCTGGCTGATGAGTCCTCACAAACAGATTTGGCTTTCTACAGTAGAGCTAGTCAGAGCAATTCTTCTTTACTTCCTCCACCCATATTCAGGGGTAGCATTGGCAGTCCACTAATTGGATCCATGGAAGAAGATAACAGAGTCAGCATGAATACTCGTTACAAAAGGAGTGGTGATCCTAATGTGGGAAGAGGACAAGGGAATGCTTGGAGGGGTGCCCCAAATTGGTCGTCACCAATGGCAAATGGATTTATTCCTTTCCAACATGGCCCACCTCATGGAGGTTTTCAAACTATGATGCCACAGTTTCCATCTCCATCTTTATTTGGGGTTAGACCCACGATGGATATTAATCATTCTGGAATCCCTTACCATATGCCTGATGCTGAGAGGTTTCCTAATCATTTGCGCCCACTTGGTTGGCAGAATATGATGGATGGTTCAGGACCTCACTTACATGGATGGGATGTAAGTAATGGTGTTTTTAGGGATGAACCACACATGTATGTAGGACCTGAGTGGGAGCAGAATAGGCACCCCATGAATGGTAGGGGATGGGAATCCGGTGCAGATATGTGGAAGGGTCAGAATGGTGATGTGAGTATGGACTCATCTGCAGTGTCTCAGAAGGAAGAGTACCCTGTGCAGCTCCCTATTGATGATACTGTAGCTGGGCAGACAGGTCAGAGTGAAAATAATCAACTTGCTCTTCGGGCAAAAAGTGTTGAACAAGGGCCTGATGTCACTTCGCCAGCAAGAGAATCTTCTAAATCTTCACCAAAAATTCTTGTTGAGAATAAGTCTGATCGTTCTAGTGAATCATCTGATGATATTTTTACTCGTTGCACTCGTGTTTATCTTTCTAAGCTTGACATATCATCAGAACTTGCTGGTCAAGAGTTGCACAGCCAGTATTTAAGCTTACTGGAAAAAGATCACTATTCAACTGTGGAGGAAGACATTACTTTTTTTGTGAGTTTAAAGGTAGACAACACGCCCCCCCCCTCTCCGCTTTCTCTTTGTAGACATGCACATTAATGCACATTCATTCACTCATACACAAGAATTTAAGTTATCTGGTCTTTTAATATCTTTTAATACTTTTTTGCTAATTTGACAGGATGGTGGAAAAGCAGTGCCAAAAAGTTCAATTAGCCTGTTGAATTCTTCTCTTTTTCCTGCAACAAATGACTTGATTTTTCAGGTAGTTTGGATTAATATAGTAATTTCAATTATGGACATGATAATACAATGCATGAATTCATCTTGGTTATAATATAGTAGATGTATCACTTTTTTTTAGCAGCATGGTGTAAGGGCTAGAAGGCATGCAATTGCATAAAATTGTTGTAACTGCCGAGAAACTATTCTGTTTAGCAAGAGGAATGAGGGCATAATAAAAGATGGGTAGTTTTTTATTTGTTGTTTTCTGGTTTTGGGGGGAAGCTGTGTTGAGTTGAAGCCGTTATTTATTTTTCCATCTCTAGCTGTTATAGTTGACTGTGCCACACGTTTTGGATGTTATTTCAACCTCTATCCTGAAAGCAAGGTTTTGTTGCTTCTTTTTATTCACTAGCACCTTTTGAATATTGGAGAGTGCATCATACAAATAGTGGGCATTTATCTTTTGATTTCTAGTCTTGACTTGTTAGCCTGCAGAAAGAATCGACTGTGCTGATACATTTTATTCCAGAAGAACTATTTTAATGTCTTTGTATTTTGAGTTTCAAGACAAACTTTTGAAATCTAGTTCTGAACATGTGATTGTTTATGGTTGTGATCTTTGACTGACAGAGAGCTATGGATTTCTACAAGAAGCAGAGAGTTGAAATGAATGGCTTGCCTATCAGTGGCAGGTTTGATGCTCTTTTCACATCCACTCAGGTGAAAGTGGAGGAGCAAGTGCCAATGCACAATGTGGAGAAACAAGAGGGACCAGTGTTCATTTCTGATGAAGAGATTCTGAAGGCACCTGTGTCAAAAGTAGATCAGGTGAAACTTGAAGCTGATTTGACTTTTCATCCTGAGGAGAAACTGGAGGAACCTGTCTCAGCTCCCAGTCTGGAGGTGCCACATCCTAATCAGAATGGTTTATTGAAGAAGGTTGAGTTGGGTCCAGATTTGACCCATGGGACCTCAGAGGAATCTAAACCAATCTCGGATGAGAGTAGGGTGGTTGATGAAATGGCTGCCAAGCAGGTGATTTCTGAAGATGTAGGAGGCAAACAAGTTTCATCTCCTGGTACTGCATCACCTGTTATTGCTGTCTCACCAACTGGCAGCAATGAAGACGCAGGTGAGACCAAAAATGCAGCAGAAGACCATTCTATTCAATGTACAGAGGGAAAGCAGATTTTTGGGGATGCAATTAGTGGTCCTGTAGTTTTTCCGGATGCTTCCCCTGAGGTGTCGGGGGCTTTGATGCCTGGATCTAATGGATCTGAGTCTGAGTCTGAGTCTGAGTCGGTAATATTAACTCGGATACATCATTCTCCTGAAAGTACACATTGAGACAATTTCTATATCCATGTTTTTTTCTTTCTTTTCATTTTTTGCGATTTTGGTTAATCTTGCTTTTCCATCTCTTTTCTGTTGCTTCCTATATTCTAAAGAAATAAAATGTGATCTGCTCTTTGGGTCCCCACGAGTTCTGTTTCTCCCTCATGTCACTCTGCATTCTGCTGGATTTTTATAGAGGCCTCTCGCGGATGCTGCTCCTGCAAAATAGGTAACCGAGTTTCTTGCCTACCCTGTTACTTGCACGGAAAATGCACACACTCTCCTCAAACTGCACTACCATAGATTTTCAGCTATTTTTGTTTTATTGGCTAACGTAGGTTGGTAATGACAAGGTCAGTTGGATCGGTTCCGGGTATAGTCATTTTCTGTTTGGTGCATTGTGTGCTTTAGTTGCATTTATTAGGCAAAAAAGTTTCTTCTTGGTATGATTAATGCCATAGTTAATGTGGATTGTCGAGGTCATCTTGTTAACAGATAGGTGGATCTTGCAGGTAGTTCATTTTCATTATTTTCGAAATTACAGTTATTTTAATACACACACACACACACATATATATATATATATATAGATCTTACAACATGAATTTCGAATTAAAAAAAAAAAATCAATCTATAAAAACTGTTGAATTTTAAGCTTATGCTTTTTAGAATTTCTAATCTTGTGGGCTATGATCCTGTAGTGTTACCATCTTTGAGTTTCAATCAGTCATAACTCAGACAAGTGAGTTAATTTTTAAAATCGAATATGGGTTGAATCCTATTAATTTTTAATTAATTTGTTTTTGGGTTTAAAAATAAAATAATTATAAAATATTTCATAACTATAAATAGAATCAGTAAATCTTATAAATTGATGGATCTTAAAATTATATAAAAAATTAAACGGATAAAAATTTAAATAAGTTAATTGTATCTACAAAATTTGTCAACTAATTTTTATTGTTGATTTATTTTATAATTGTTTGTAAAAATAATAGTAAGCAAATATTTTTATAATTTTTTAATATTATTAATAAATTTTACATTATTCATGATTATTGGAACCCGGAAGGTAAGAACATAAGAATTTTATAATAATAGAATATAATAACATAATCAACACTATAGGAATTATAACCATTCATCCATCTAATGAATAATGCATAATGTGTATATATATATATATATATATATATAATATAAAATATCAATTTATAAGTATGTCAATGTCGAAAGAAAACATAAGAAAACCTCAACAGAGTAACTCCTCAGGATAATCCTCGTTCAAATCGAAAGGAAAAGCCAATTTGGTAGGTGAATCCAGACTTCCACTCTTATCTCTGTTATCCCCATTGCAATTCTCTCCTTCTCTGCCACGGCTACAGTCCCCAGTGCCATTGTCACCTTCTTCTACGCCATCTCTACGACCCTCCCGACCAGAACTTCCGCTCTTACCGTTCGCATCTTCTCCGCCATGGCTACCGGAACTTCCATTCCCATTACCGCTATTTCCATTCCCATCTTCTCCGCCATGGCTACCGGAAGTTCCAGCCCCGTTGTCGTTATTAGCATTCCCATCTTCTCCGCCGTGGGTACCAGGACTTCCATTCCCATCACCGCTATTTCCATTCCCATCTTCTTCGCCATGGCTACCGGAAGTTCCAGCCCCGTCGTTATTGCCACTGCCAGAAGAAGAACCAGCCTGATCACCATCCAGCTTAACAAGAGCGAAAGCGAACGTTCCGTCGGCTTTCCGAAAAGCCCAGAGTTGAATCACATCTCCAACACGAAGCCTGTTTCTTTTATTAATAGCAGTCCACGTACTAATAAAAGCATACATATAGTTGATTTTCCCATTCGACTTCCTCATCTCCCACCTGGTTAAAGTAATATCTGAAACTTGAAGCGAAGGTTCGATAATATTCACAGACAATTTCGAGTTGTTGTCTAAAGATCTATTCTCTTCTGGTGTCAAGAACTCTGTCCTCACTTGATTCAACGGAACAGACAAGCGATTATTGTTCTGTACCAAATCGGAGGCGAACAGTCGTTTTTGGATCACCAAGATTGGTTCTTGATGATCATTCCCTTGCATTTCTTTAATCACTGTTCTAAATCTCTCTGGTAAATCTGGTACCACCTGCATGAGATCGTTCACTTTTTGTACTTTCTTGTTGGTTTCCTTCTCCTTTAGTTTCTTCTTTGGTTCAGCATCTACAGCGTCCTCCATTGGTTTCTTTCCTAGATCTTCTCTGGACTTCCTCTTCATCGACCTAACTCGGGTACTGGGTTCAGCTTCAACGTCCTTGGACGTGCGGAGAACGCCATTACCGGAGCTTGGGCTGCTTCGGTTCCGGGATTTAGACCGCACCTCCATTAACTCATACTCAGTCACAGCAAGCAAACACTTGAGCTTTGTCCAGTTACGGGATAAGAATACCCACCAAGACTCCTCCATCCTACGTTTGAAGGCTGTGCTTGGTTTACGAGAAAACAAGAGAGAAAACAAGAGAGAAAACAAACGTTCTTTTCTTTCTGAAACAAGCTCACACACATATAACCCTTTGTGAAGTAAGCTCTACGTATATATACACTATATTCTCACTCATACGATTCGGAAACGGATTTCCAAAAACAAAGGCAGATTAGGAAACGGAGATAATTGGGTTAAAATGCGAAGAAGGAAAAAAGTAGTTTTCTAGTAGGATTTGTACTTGCATTTTCCTTTCCTAATATGAATATGAAACTGAAATGGTGTCGTTGATGGCACAGAAACTGAGCAGTGATCCAAAGGGACGTGAATCGGTTATAAGCCAGGAGAAGGATTAATGAGAGGTTGTGTGTCGCCATTGTCGATCCTTCACTGCACGACGTCGTTTTAAAAGTCGACATGAAGTCTGAAGGGAAGGGTGAATTCTCCACAACGACGTCGTCCAGATATGGGCTTTTCGGGTTGATGGGCCTACCCATTTGATGTACCGAATAATTTTTCGTTGGTCTTTTCCATTTTCCTTAATTTTTTACTTTCAATATGTCATATATATATATATATATGTATGTAAATCTCTACGAAATTTTTTTGAAGAACGACCCAATTGAATTTACAAATTTCTTAATTATCTAAGTTAATTAATAATTAATCAAGATTTATAAGTTACTCAGAATATTATTATTAAAAAATTAGTATAAATAACATTTTCTTAAAGCATATAAACACTTCTAAATTCAAAATATTTTATAAACCATTTTCAATTTTATTAAATTAAATAAACATATAATAATATTTTATTTAATTTAAACCAAATATCATCAATAGATAATACATTAAAAACAAAAAAAAAAATTAAACTGGTACAAAAACATCTGCTTCAGTATGAAAAATTGGTTAGCATTTCATTATAAGGATGAACTATTTGTGAACATATACACAAATGCCTGAAGCAATTTTTTCTTTTTATATAGTTCTTATTAATTATAAAAACTGTCTAAAAGAACCCAAAAAAAAAAAAAAAAAAAAATTCTTAAGAAGAAAAAATTCCCTTTTCTTTTTCCTAACAAAAATTACAAGTTTCATATAACACCCAATAAATCAGGTTAGCTGGTCCTTGCGGAGAAACAATAGCTGCGCTCTGTATGTTCTAATTCATGAATTTCCTGCAGTTTGGTGCTTTACATAAACATGGGACTTTGGATTCGTCAGGCTCGTCTGGATCAAACAAGTAATCGTACCTGCCGGTTATGTTATTACCAAATCAAAAATCGCCGTTAGACAGAAAGGTTAAAGGCAGGCCTCAGGACAAAAAAGAGAGAGGAGAGGGAGAGAGTAGTACGTTAACTCGTCACCAGCAGACACGTTGGTCTTCGCGATAAGAACAATACGGCTCTCGTCATCCCCTACGCTCATAATCCTAGCATAGCAATTTGGCATACACTGCATCATAAAAGAAGTTTAAATAAAAAGCATGATAAGTTAGATGCTGGTCAAAAACTAAAACAGTCTTGAATTTGGTTCAATTCTTAGTTAAGTTTCCTAGAGTTCTATTTTATATATTAGTTCATATCATAATTTTTAGTGTTATAGACCAACTTTTTTCACAAGAAATCTCATAATCCTACTATGTATAACTAAAATAGATTTGTTGTGTTCAAATTATCAGAATCCACATCTTGAATCTTTTTATGATAAAGAACTCAGTTCCTCCCTTCAAAGCTGACCCTCGAATTCATATTACCAAGAATTTTAAGGCATGATATGATTATAACTCAATTACAATAAATTATATTTTATAATGCATATTAAGACTATTATGAAAATTAGAATAAAAAAAATTGACTAAGAATTGAATCGAACGCAAATAGGAGTAGCCAAAAGTCGATTCCAGCAGAATAGTTGATCACGCATGACTTACAGAATGATTGATCAACCGGGCAATGTTACCCTTGTCGGTGGCATCTACCACAACCTCCTCACTAATTTTGAACAGCTGCCAAATCAAAATCCATCATAAACTAAGAAAGACCAAGAAGGGCAAAAGAAAAGGAAAGAAAATCAACCAAATTGGGAGAACAAGCAAGAAAGAATAAAAAGAATGAACTGACATAGCAATCTTTCCCTTCCAATCGGTATTGCACCTCTCTAAGGTCCGCTATACTACGTCTCACCTGTTCGCCACGATATTCAAGAACCTGAAGATAAACACAAGCTTCTTTGGTCAGGCATTCTGTTGCTGCTGAGACCCAACAAGTTCATTTCTAAATCATTTGAAAAACGGACAGAAGATGTCAAGTTCATGCAGGATAACATCAAAAGTAAGAATATGATTTCTAATTTCTGTTTGCTTTTAATGCTTTTGATTATTGTCTTTAAAATATCCAAGAAATTTCAAGAGAATGATTCTCAAACCCAAGAATCAATAACTGTCATCCGAAACAAAGTCCACAAGAACCCCCCAAAAAGTAACTGGATAATAGTGCTCATTAGAGATTGAAAATGATTTCTTCCCATGAAGAAAACAGTTTGAAAAACTCAGTGGTTGCATACCATTTCTCCTTCTGGAATATTTCTACGTGCAAAGAGGCCCCACCCGTGTATTCCAGATCGACCAAAGCAAACTCGATCCATTTCAGTTTTCTGAAATCGTGTATAATTCAAAATGGTTAGATCGATAAACTATAACGATTGATTTTGAATTAAAAAGGAAGAATAATTGCCTGTAAGTATTTAAGCCGTTCCCTGAAAGAAGAAAAGCTCTTGGGCTCTTCCACTACCTGTTAAATGACAAATGAACCAACATTTCATTGCACCATAATTTCTATTTTGGTTTCTGCCTATAAGATGAGAAAGACAACTCCAAATGGAAGGATAATGTGTTTACCCTGAATTCATTTAGATTTTGCATGGCAAGTAAGGGATGATTGCTGGGCCTCATCACTCGGTGGGCAATGGCTTCTTCTTCAGTCCTCTAGCAAACAGAAAAAGGGAAAAAAAGAAGAGAATTTAAGAACAGGAATAGCTTTTTCTTTTGATGGAACAAAAAATTAACTTGTTCAAAGAATCAAATAATTGGATAATTTATTAAAAGCAGGATGAATTAACATTCAGATGAATTATGAAAAACAGAAGAAAGTACTTCAGCAAATTTAAACGCTGTATATGAGAGGTAATTGAATTTTGCTTTGTTTTTTCTCCTAAATTGTGAAAAGCAGAAGCTGTGAGTTCCACAGCAATCTATCACAGTTAAGAAAACTTTGAATACTAAGATGCAGAAGTATTGGTAAGTGCCATACATCACAAACTAATTCATTTTAAGCAACATATCCACCTCGCTATGCAATATAAAATTTACCTAACACCTGTAACAGTTATTTCATAGCCGGGGGCATAGCTAACTCCAGAATTATTTTGATTTCTAAATTACTAGTTCCCGGCCCCAACCAAAAGTAACAATTAATCTAGGAACTCTAAAACATTTATGCAGAATACCTTCCTTCTTTTATTTAATCTTTTGAAGACGCGACACCTAGCAGCGGAGAATGGCTCAAATTCTGTTGCTTCTATCACTGGAACCTCTTCAACTTGTGCCCTGTTAGATGAAATTAGCCTGGAACCGGTTCTCTTCTTGTTTTTAACAAGGCTTCTGGCAGAAAAGACCCCAAGAGGAGTCTGTATAATCAAAACTGTATCTGGATTTGGAGCCCTATCCCCCACAAAAAAAAAAGGAAAAAAACACAGCAACCATAAATATAAAAACTAAGACTGGTAGTTGCCTATATTTAACTGTCTGTGAAAATATGAGTAAGCTTAAGTGCATAAAAACTGCAGCATACCTGTGATAAGCACAATACGAAACCATTTTCGTAGACTGCTTGCCATTTTTCTCCAAGCAATGTAACTGCAATTTAAACAAGCACAGTTTGATACAATCAAGTACCAACATGAATCTCTAATCTTGTAAATTTCCTCGACATCCAAAAGAATGCAAAAGGTTTACAAACTAAAACGCCAGGTTAGACAACCAATGAAAAGAATTGCTATAATATTTCAGTAGAAATTCAAAGCATCTTAACAATATATTGACATGTTGTACCATTTCAAACTAATGTCTTCCCTTGAACAAACAACTCTTAAACTTTGCAGTTAAGATGTTCATAGATTTCAAATTCATTATTAATTTACTTTTTTCCCTCTTAATGGCTCCTGTCATCTCACGCCAGGTCTAGAGTCTTTCTTTTGTTTCAGGTTTTGGTGCAGAGTGCAACATTCAAGGACTAAAATGCTGACTAATCAAAGAAAATCCCAGGTATAAACTTTGTGATGCATTACATGCCGAGACAACTTAATTTTTTAATCCTCAACTTAAAATCTTGATATCACAAAAAGATAACGTTAGTTCCTCCATTTTGTAAAATCACATAAACCAGCAGTTATCCAGCAGAATCCATGTAACTCAATAAGTTCTACCAAATTCCTAATGCATAGGATGAAGAATAACCAACTAACCTCCATCCGGTAGCCAGCCCTTGATGCACACATTGCATGGTAGTATGTTGAACACTTGGAACATTGAGTGCACGAACCATGAATTTGCTTACATATTACACAAATCTGGGCCCATATCAACAAATTAATTAGAATAATACAAGTTATCCATGGAATAGCAACAAGCTCATAATTTGTAAGCAATCAGAATGCATCAATCAAAGCCAAAAATTTCCAGGGCATGTAAAACCATGTTCCTTAACAAAGAAAGTAGTAAGTAAATTTCTGAATCAATCATCGAAGAATCATCAAAGGAGAAAAGAAACTTGAAATTCTGGGCACAAATGCCGTATATGTTTATGCCCACAAATAGGACTGCTATTATTCCCTCCCCTAAATCTCCCACATCACAGCAAGCATGAACGCACATTCTCAACAAGCAAGTAATAGTGTTTCAGTAGGAAAACAAAATAAAGATAACCAAATTAAAATCTTAAAAATTATCCATTTGCTTCCATATCTCCTAGAGATGGGTTAAAGATCATATTTCAATCAGAGGGAGACTCCAGGTGCCACATTCACCAGATATTCTAGTTTCAATGATTACAAGACAGTAAACTTTGTGATCTCCACCTGGTAAATGTGTTCCAATAAGAAGCAGAGTTAAATATTGACCTCATGATAACTAAACTAGAAATCCTACCTTCACAAAAGCATTTGACGGAATACTCAAGATCCCAAGAGCAGGTTCCATCTTTTCGTCACTTGCAAAAGAGACTTCAGGCTGAAACCAGGCACAAGTAACATGGACCCATAATGTCTCAACATCTGTTGGCTTTAGAGCACCTCCTAATTGAAGAGAAAAAAAAAGAGAGCAAGCAAAATAAGATAAAAAGATATATAATATAAAAAAAAGGCAGTATGGCAATTACCATAACAAAGTGTTCATTAGTAGCACATACTATCAACATGAACTGTCCATTTGTAATCATATCACATAATATCAACACAAAGATGATTCAGAAAGTGTAAAATGGCAGTTTGCAAGTTTTCTAAAATTCACAATGGGGAGTAACAATCGCATATCTAGACGTGCTGCTAAAGTATTTAGACAGACATAAGATTCGATCCAAACAGAAAGAAGAGAAATGATGAACACGTGGTGTGAAAATACAACAAACAAGTGCCATTGTGACCATGAGAAAACAGCATTTCTGTAAAGGATCAGTTCTGCTTTGAGCAGAGAATAATTTAACATAAAGTTGAAAATATACAGACATGGAAAGCGAAAGAAGTGCTAAACATCTACAATCATGTTCAACAGGAAAACGTGCCTTTTACGGGACAAAGACAACACTCCCGCTTAATTTCAGGTGTTTCACATGCTTTGCAAACCCATGAAGTGAAGTCCCGAACATTTCTTGCTCCATAGCATTCTTGATGCACGGCAATTTGGCATCTGATAGAAAGCAAAAATTATTATCATTCACATCAAAGTAAAAATTATTTACATAATAAGTAAAGTATTCGGTCAACAAGTGGTTCACCCTCTCAGCAACATAATGAAAAATGTTTGTTTAATGATGGAAACATAATAATCAGGTGGCAGAAAGTAACAAGACAGTCAGATTAAGTAACTAGAGAACCATAATCATAAAACCCTAAACATACTGCTTTCAAGGAAACTCTTTTGACACAAGGAAGTTCATGCAAATATAAGAAGCCCATAATACCTAGCAATTGCCTTCACATCAATTCATGAGACTGAATGAGATGACATGTCCTTAATCACAATGATTTTATAGAATTTCAATGCAAAACAACTTCCACTTAGCACACCTGTTGCAGATGATAATTTTGTTGTAGTCCCAGTCTTCAACCCATCTACAAACAGCACATCTTTCTGTCGTCCATTTAGCATAAACTGGTTCATATTTCTCTGCCAGAGCAAATGTGAAAATTATCATAACCCAAGTGAAAATGGACAATAAAATAGTGAATAAAGCAAACATACCCTGCAGAAAAGCAAGCAACTTTTGCTTTCTCTCCTTTATAGAAGGCTTTTTAGGTGGTTTTGCCGGTACACTAGCATTTGCATGGTACTCTGCGAGCTGCAGCATCTGCTAAGACAAATTAGAATTGGCATGTATTAGAAAAAAAACACATACCCAAAACGAATGCTTAGACTGCCTTCAACTCTATGCTACATCCAAATTGAGATGTAAGGCTTCCGACAATAAACTTTTCCTATTCTATGCTACTTCCAAACTAAGACATAAAACTTCCAAACTAAGACAAAAAGCTTCCAATAATGAGCTTTTCCTAGATGACACTGATGGAAAAGTACACTATTCACAGCCTATAAATTTTGTCAGATGCTAATAAGTGAGGAGTCACCAACATTTACAATGTGCAATCCATTGAAGAAAAAACCCAATATTATGGGATCAAAAAGTGCCAGCAGTATATAAAAAAAAATTACTTCAATGAACAGAATATCATTATATGTTACATTCTTCACAATAATCCTAAATCCTACAAGAAATTTATTTTTATGGACTTGTCATTTACTGGCACAAACTTTAAGGGGATAAAGAAATATAGATAAAACATAAAAGTAAATGGCTGCTACAAACCCATTCTTCTAGTGGTAGCATGGAACCTTTCACCCGAACACTAGTCCTCCAATTTTTTGCTTTGGATCCTGTATGACGTTCCCATTCGCTAAGTGCTTGTTTTTCAGGACCACAGAACCCACACTTGCACACAACTCTGAAAAAGAAGTATTAAATGATGTAAACGGCTGCTTCCTCAGGAAGTAAAATACAAAAACAAGATTTGAGGAAGTTAAAGTCCCGAACTAAAATAGCCTGATCAACTTTGAATGGTTTAAGAATAGGTTTAATTAATAGTCAATCCTGCAATATACTAATATCACCAACTAGAGGGAAAAGAAAAGGTAAATAGATATGCTCTGAAAAGCCAAATAGCATAAGCATGTTTTTCTTTCTATCATGACTCATCCTCAAGCATAAAAAAATTTGTACTTTGTAGTCTTCTATATTAAAATCTTCCATTTTGTAGCTCTTCAGTAAACGGGAGTATTGATGAAGCCAGCAAGGAGCTATAGATCTCTAGACTACTATCGCTGACAACTATTTTATATGCAAACTAAATTACACTAATATTTTTCCATTTTTGCATCAGAGATTGAGTCAACATGCAAAAGCTTAGCTACTCAACAATCTATAACTTAATGATAAATAAAAAAGGTTGCCTAATGACGTGTTCAGAACTGAATTTTGGGAATGGTTACTAATTCATTGAGCCAGAGATTGGTCACAAGATGTTCCTTTTTGAAAATCAGGATCCTCCTAAATTTGGAGGAAAATAATTTTAAGAAAGTGAAAGTGCTTAAAAAGTTAAATTTGCTTACAAATGAAGGCTTGGAAAATATATGCCTTCCACGCCTGAACAAAGAACGGAAACCTTGTTTGGAAGCGCAGACTGACTGCTATTTTTGTTGGATCTGTACCACAGGTTTTACTAGAGTTAGGCATATACAAATGTAAATGGAAAAAATCAAATCATTCGGAAGAAATTACTGAGAAAAATCAAATTAAATTTATTTTATTATCGTAGTGGCAACAAGGTAAATTTCAGAAATAAACATGGAAAATGGAAAACTGAACTGAACCCTACTTACTTCACTTTTGGCTCCCATTTTTCTGAATCGGATAATTCAAAGTTAAATTTTGCTTTGCAGGTAGGACAGTAATAATCAGTTCCTCCTAGATCCTTCAGTACACAAATAACTTATTTAAGAAAGCTCAAAATTTCCTTCCATGCTCTCATTACTAGTAGAACAGAAAAAAATAAAATGACAGGATAGGTTGACAGGCAGACCTTAAAATGCTTGTGGGAAATTTTGTCACACTCCGCATGCACCCAAACTTTGCAGCCATCGCAGCGGACCTAATTTGGTGAGGATATGAAAGCAAAAACTCAATAGAAAATAGCCATTACAATCAAGCAGAAAAGAGTATCATAACTCTGTATCATCACAAATACAATTGTCGGTAGCCTCACCCAACTCCCGCTGTCCGAGTGATTCCAAATCTTTTTACATATGCCACAGTAATGCTTAGATTTTGCTAACTGCAAAAACAGTGGATGAATCAGTTTAAAATGCATAACTGCAATCAAAGCCACAAACTAGAAATGAGTACCGAATAAGAAAAGATGAAGATACAGTTATACGAACCCTTGTACATGCTTTACAAAGGAATTGACCTGCAGTAATTGAAGCTTTCATCTTTTTCGTAACTAAACGGATCATACCACAGCCTTCACAGGCTTGTTCATTTTTGTTCTTCCTATAAATGGCCTGCAAAGAGAAACTAAAGTAAAAAAAAAAAAAAAAAAATCTGAAGATTGAAAAAGAAAATTTCAGTGTCTCCCATTTTTTCACCTAATGAAAAATTTCAATTCACAAAAAGAAAAATCAGCACTGAGAAAGAAATAACTAATTTTTGACTGGTTCCACTAAAAATTTAGGAAAACGACAAGACGCCAAATATTATATTCATGCCACTTTAGCTCCCCTTTTGAAAACGGAAGAAAAAACACAAACACGTGGAACCACTAACGCTATTTTTGGCAGAATCTTTCATTTCAATTGGAAGATCATCTCAATTGGATCCATGCTCATGGAACCGTTACAAGTTACCAAGAAAACGTACTTCTCTACAAACGAAAAGAAAGTGAAAATAAAAATCATATGAATGAAAACATGCCTGGTTAGGGGAATGACATTCCTGATCCTGGTTTGATCCTGTGGCCTCCTGACCACATCTAAGGACAGAATCATCATAAGTTGGATTCCCAGCAGCCATGTTAATATCCTGTATCAACTTCTCTGTGAAACCCTGTTCTGCCAAGTACGCCTCCTCTATCGCCACCTGGAAATGACTGGTCTTGCATTCATTCAATTGCCGCTGCTCCTGAAATCTAGATCACACAAAAAAAATTTCCTAAGCAAAAGTATAGTTCAAGCGAATAATAAAAAATCAGACATGAAAAATACCAACTAAATGCACCTGTCTACAAAATCTGCAAAGGGGAAAATCATTCCACGTCTGACCCATGCATAATCCTGCTCATGATCATTCCAAGAAACATAATAAATGCTCAACTTCGGGTGAATAACACAAGTTGCATAAACAGAAATGAGCTCTCCACAGTAATCCATACCCTTTGCTGTGAATTCCCAGAGTGTCCAAAGAACATAACACAAGCGGCATCCGGTATGCAAGACCTCAAAACCAGCTCAGGCGCTTGTGTCATTGGATCAACAACAATGGCTGGCCAAAATGGATCATTCTTCCCCGACTTCCCCCACACAATATCACCCGAGTAGAAGTCCTCTGGCCCATACAACCCAGCTTTCCTCTCACCATTCTCCATTAACTCAACTATTTCCTCCGGTGGACACTTTTCTTCTTCAACCAGGTTTTGCTCATACACTGAAGTAAGCGTACTACGTGAACTAGAATACTTATACTTCCTAATGTCAATACTCCTATACCCATCTTCTTCATCTTCCTCACACAATGTAGCATATCTACCATACTTGTAACCCATTTTCTCTTCGTTTCTCCTGTTTTTCACACTATGATTACCGGATTTTGGCATCCTCGAAACAAATCTATCTCTTTTATGTTCAAATTCATCGACTAAAGAATAATCACACAAGCTAACTTTGCTCTCTTTCTTCCAATTCTCAATAACAGAATCGTTAAACCGAGAAGGAAGTACCTGAACTCGCCCACGAGAGGTTCTGACGAGAGGCGGACGTGAAACCTCCACTGTTGGGTTCCTGGCCCTGCCACCGGAGCTTCCCTTGGATTTTGACTCTACCTCGCCGGGGGAACACGACACTTCCGTGCTCCATGAAGCAGAGAATCCTTTCTCGGGGTCGCTAGCGTGGATACCATGAAGACTCAGCGGAATTATGCCTGCGGCAACCTCGCCAAGCAGGTTAAGTGGGTAGTAAGCGTTCAGTTTCTTCTTCTTCCGAGAAGCCGAGTTTTCGTCGTTGTCACCCGGTGAGTCTCCGACTCGGCACCGTTTTAGACTCGGCATTTGAGATTTCAAGTTGCGTTTGATTATCATTTTCCCGAGAAAATACACTCCACAGAAACGATCAATCGCCTGTAACAAAACCTCCACCTTTAGCTTCCAATTACAATAAAGGTAAAACCCCTCTTCCTTCAAGATATCACTACAACACCCCAATTTCCAGACGACCCATAAACCCTAATCGTCCAAGAAAGAAAAAGAAAAGAGAGAATCGAAACAACAAATACCCACAATTCCCTTTCCCTTCCTTTCTCCCAGAACCAAACAGGAGACAATTCAAAAACGAAAACCCAGATACAGAAACATGAAAATTGAGAGAGAGATTGATGAGAATTCGACGAACACCATAGCAATTACAGAGCCTCGACACAAAAGAGATCTGTCTCGACCCAGAAGCAACCCTTTCTCTCTCTAACTGCCCCAGAGTAGAGAGAAAGAAAAACAAAAATAACCAATAAAAAAACAGCACCAAATCGCAATGCAATTGCTCTTAATAAAAATAAAAATAAAATATATATATTAACTTTTTTTGCAATTTTTTTTGGCAAAACTTTTTTTATTTGGCGACGGGTGACAGAGTCGAAGAGAGAGAGAGAGAGAGAGAGAGAGAGAGAGGGGTTTCGGCGTTATCTATATATCGTGAACATGTAAACGTATATACTTACATGCTTAAGTGTTTGTAATGGGTGGCCACTAACTTGCGCCTCGCGTGCTTTGTGCGTGATTTCTTCCTCGTCTTCGTGGCTCACCGGTGTCGTTCGGCTTCCAATTTTTTCTTTTTGTCGATGCAAAAATAAAAAATTTCAATCTTTTGAAGCTTTCGTCTATGTCTTCTGTACAGTGACATTTTTATCAGTACTATCGTGCATGGATTTGGAACAGAGAGTTCTAACTTAGCTTCCGAAATAGTTGGAACTGGACTCTGCAACCAAAAATTAATGGTGGTTGCTTTTTTCTTTTTCGTGAACTTTAGGTCTGGTTTTTGTTGGTTCATGGGTTCAAATTCGCTTCATAAATAATCCAATCAAAAAATTTGAGAAAAAAATTGTTTTTTCGTGATGGGTTATAGTGGGTTTTTGGAGACTAGATTAAACTCTGCAACTTTGAATATACATATATATATATATACACACACATAAATATCTACCATTTTAATGCTAAAAACTTACTATGTTACCTTATGGGGTATTTATATTTTAGGGTTCATTTCGTTTCAATTCACAAACTTCAATAAAAGTTTTGATAAAGAAATCTTTTTTTCTTGATTAGTTTAGTGGATTTTTGGAATTGTTTTGAACTCTGCAAATTCGAACATGATCAATTTTCTTCTTCTCATTTCAAATGGGGTGGTGAAGGTGACTACTTTACCTTATTGGGCAAAAAATGCTTCTTCAAAGTATTAAAATCATTTGCATCTTAGACTTGAAAGATTTAAACTTTCAGCAAATCAAGTAAGTAACAAGAATAATTAAATAATTTTAAAATTCTCTTAATTACTTTACTAAATTTTTTTTTATGTGGGTTTGATTTGGGTTTTTGCCAAGTGATGATTTTGGAACAAAGAATGTTTGTGAATGAGATTTTAAAGTGTTGGAAAAACTTTTCAAATCAAGTCAAATTTAATAAATCTAAATAAGTAATCTCGTGTCGAATCAATAAAAAAAAATAAACGAAAAGTGTACCTAAATTCATATCGAAAATTTGATTGCGTTTTACGATAAATATTTCTGAATCAATACACGGCTTCAAAAACTATTTTTTTTTTTTTTTTTCTGGTGATGGAATTTCAAAAAAATAACACACCATGTTTATGATTCGATAACCATAACTATTTATTTATATCGATATATTTTTTTTATTTTATTCATCGTATAATAAAAAATTATAAAAATAATATCCGCACGTATCAAACTCATACTTAAACTCAACTTATTAAGGTTCAATTCCGTTTAACCATATTTGATCACTTTTAAACGGAACGAAAATTGATAGTTTATTATGCATAATGAAACACGCATTAAGTCCGTTCGTCGAAAAACCCAACACAAAGTTCTCTCGTTAAGAAAGCGCAGAACTTCCCCACTATTTTTTGTATTTTGGTAGTTTCTGTTTTGGGAATATATGGATTAAGTTCTATCTAAGTTTCCTTTTTTTTTTTAACTTTGTTGTAGGCTAGTTTCCTTTTTTTTACTTATTTATTATTCTATCACTACCTTCAAATTCTATTTTGGCTTATGTGAGATTTAAATGTTTGTACTGCCCAATTTCCTAACCTAATATTAATTTAATTACCAGTGTTTATCAAAATACTGATGGGTATTTGGTCTCTGGCATTGGATAATTCTTTGCCAATATACTAGTTTTCTTCACTCTTTTGTTTTCAAGGGCTGCTCTGTTTTCCTACTAATAAGAAAGAATAAGTTTACTACATACTTGCATAACATATATATATGTATATATATATATATATGTTATTTACATAGTCTGTGAATTCCTTTTTCCCATTCTCAAGGTTGACGACAAAGTCCATGGCTCTCTTTGGTCATTACTGGTTTTTCTTTGGGAGTTCTTCATCAGACATTCTTTCATACCTTATTAAACCAGTGAAGAATGACTTGATAACAAGAAAGCTGAACTCGGAACCAGAATATAAGCCAGAGTTTTTACTATTTTCTGAGTTAAAAGAGAAAGAGGAAATCAAATACAAAAGTACACAGTTTTAGGTCAATATATATGCATGTCTGCTCACGAAAAACTCGAGCAAATTATAATATTCTTAAATTAATTTATTCGACAGCAGCAAACGCTAGTTATAATATAAATTTTAACAAAAAAAAAATTAGTTATTAGTAAAGTCGAAATTGTTAAATTAAAAATATTTTTAAAATTAATATATCGGTAAATTTAAGTACGAATCTCATATTGAATCAATAATAAATGTAAGTAGAAGCATACATTAATATATCGCAGAAGATTCGATTGCGTACTGCAGTAGATACTTATAAATCAATACGATGTTTGAAAAACTGACTTTTTTTAGTGACGAAATTTTAGAAAAATAAAATGACGACTTTGTGATTCAATGATCATAACTGTATTTTATATCGATAAACTTTTTTAATTCTCATTTTACCAATTATAAAACGAGAATGTTATAAAAATTGTATATACACACTATAAGTTCATATTTAAATATGATGCGTTAAGGTTCAATATTTTTTTAACCGTATTTGATCACTTATAAACGGACTCATTAAATTAATAGTTTAATAAGTATATCGAGACCCATATTAAGTCCGCATGTCGGAAAAAAATCTAACAAAAATGAAAGAAGGTATGGACATAGAGTTCGTGATTTCTTCAATGAACTTCAACCTAGGGTTGATGATAGACGATGAAACCTTATTTCCTAACAGCTAAGAAGTCGGACTCTGTAATGTTTGAATTATTATAGTATCGGTCATGGCCGGTCCAAACTGTAGAGAGACATGTTTGATCGCATGAGTGCTGAGCCCGTGGAAGCTCCTTGGACGAATACTTTTACTACTTGTGAAGTCAACTTCGGTTTCTTGCTACAGATCTTGAGCATGGTCAAGATGATCCTGTTTTTAACTTAGTAAAATATTTTAATATTAATAAATAAATTTTTAGATGATTAACAATATAAAAGATCATCTGGGTAATCCTTTTTATATCAACACGAGAGTGATTTTCGATACAAAACACGAAAGCTTGGTGCTGCTGATAAAATTTACCGAGAGACAACTAAAGTTTCATAAATCGACGACTATTTAACTCAGTAGTTGATATTTTTTACTTCTTAAAAAAATTATGACTTCTATTTGAGCAGTGCTCTCTTGTCTTCTCATATGAAAATTTACTAGCAAGAAAAGCTGCTTTTAACTCAGCGGAGAAGTAAATCCACAACACTGCAATTTTGCACAACATATATATATATATATTTATACACATAAACAGATACAAATTTTTCTGCTTCCTCTTTATTCAACAAACCCTATGTACAACTCTTCTTTTAGTAATTTCAATCTATAGAGGAGGTTATTACAGAGACAAGAGATATAGAACTACCCTGCAGGAGGAGGGGGAGAGGGGGAAGGAAGATTTCAGTCTTATTTAGCAAATACCAAAACATATAACTCTTCCGAGCCATCTACTTGCCAGGCTTATACCGCTATTGAATTATACCTTCGATGATTTCTTCGTTGTACCTAGCCACTTAATCCCTACATTTACTTGTCACTGAATTAATTACCAGTTAGTGCCTCTTGGAAACCTCGGATTCTTCTGTCTTTGCAAACCTTCCCCGGATTCTTGGTTGACTGTCTGCAAGAGCTTTCCTACAAGCATACTGAAACACAGCCACACCAACAAGTTTCAACAAAAGACTTCTATTCCAACCATAAAAATAAAAGGCGCTACAAAGTTGAATCGCTAATGATAGTGATTTCAGGTCGATTGGAAACATAATTTTTTTAGTTATCATACCTTGATCTTCCGGCCAAAGTTCCTCTTTGTTTTCTTGTTTCGGTATCTGGAAAGCTTCTCCCTCCGATCTTCAGCTATGCAGCTTCCGATAACCATAGGACGCTCAATGGGGGAATGGATGAGGCTCAAATTAGTAGAATTGCCTAGAGTCTGTCACAAAAATGATGTATCAATAACTCAGCCAGATCATGTGCAAATGACCAGAAAGAACTAAAGATTTTTCAGTCTTCTGAATTCGTTATAAAGACATTACATGCTTACTTCTCAGTTGCAATCCTCTGGCACAAATTAAGGACGAAAAACAAGACATGAGGAAAGTTTACATAAATCAGGACCAGTGGTCCAGCAGAGGTCAGGTTCCAGGAAGGAATTATTAACGTAAAGGACGGATTTTAATGATCTTCTTGAATTGCCTCAGGGAAAAATGATTCCAGGTTTGGTCAAATTTCGCAATACACAAACTTGTCAGATATGTATTTAACTCAACGGGTCCAAGGGTAGTTGTGTCTTAACTTATAATTATGGGTTCTCTGTACTGCCTCAGAGACACTAATGCCTTCCCAGGATGTTTTCACATTTCATAGTAATTCAATAATTTTATCTACTCATACGTTAGAAGTTTTGAATTTTTTTTTTATTTTCTCTGTATTTTCCACATGAAGCTTGTCTTTTCATTTATTATTTGGGTGAATTCCTAATGAAAAGTTACCTTTCCATCCTCTTGGAGGTCCAAATAATCCATAGCACAGGCTTGAACCTACTAAGATCAGGGCATTACTTGGAGAGAATCTAAGTTATTCAGAAACAAAAACAAGTGAATTCTCATTCACAAGATGAACTAAAAAGGAAAACCTCAAATCAGTTATCGGATATGAATGAAATCATCTCTATGAAACTCTCTTCAAACGGGCCTCTCTTAACAAAGAAAAGGGGCCGTATATCAAGAAATGTTTTGAGAATATTTCATTATCTGTCTGTTCAAGTGTATAATAGCAGGAAAAAGATTGAGGAAACAAGGACAGTTTATCGTCTCTGACCTTTATATCTCCTTCGCTAAATGCTCTCCGCATCCCATAGACAGCTCCAAGATCCATTCCCGGGAATTCCAGAAAATTAGGCTTCACTGCAGGCCCATGCATCCAATCCATCGAGCTCAAACTACTCGAACTCACACTTTTCTGGAATGGTGACTCCGGAAGGATGTTTTCCTGAACTCGGTTATCATCTGTTATCACGATAGGGATCTTGATGTCCAGGAACTCAGAGAGTGGAGATTCTGTAGCTGATTTTGCCATCATATCCTTCTCACATTCGTTGAAAACTTCATTCAGAAACTGCTGCTCACTCTGGATAGATCCAATATCAGCAACCTTCAGTCCTTGGGAAGTCATGGCATCTTCCCCACATGAAATCATTGAAATGGCCACTGTCATGGGATCAAGGCCTATTAATGGCTCTTCAATGATTGGCCTTGGAGCTTTAAAAAGATCCCCTTCTCCTCCCAGGTCATAATCAGATATGGCGGATGCCTGAACCAGATCGTTCTGCATTGATAAGAAACAGTAAATCGCACGACTAAAACATATGTCTACCAGAAAAGACAGGTAACGTTAGTAGAACAAATACAAGTTTTTGATAGTTAATAAAATCTGTAACTTTATACCAGTTGGATTCTCAGAGACACACAAAAATATTGGTCTAAAGTTCCAAAATTTACATCAACAACCAATAAATCGTGACATTTA